ATAATAATAATAATAATAATAATAATAATAATAATAATAATAATAATAATAATAATAATAATAATAATAATAATAATAATAAAGGAGTCATGCTTTACTTAACCATGGAAAATGCCACAAATGCAGTGCAGGGGAAGATGAACTTGGGAAGAAATGTTGGGGCCAAAGAGGATTCTAGGATGGTTGAAACCACCAAAACCCCAAATTGGAGTCTCCTTCTAGCCACTCAGGTGGGCTGAAGTCAGGCAAAATTGTCCCATCCCAGAAGTAGGATAATCTTTCTTGCCAACACATTCCATGCAGATATTGAGACATGGTGGGGAGACTGCCAATTATATGGGACCAGCCTTGGATCTACATCATTCTCATTGGTTTGCCACGTCTAATTCAGGTTCACTTCCTTATCTAATTGCTCCTAATTTTTTTTAAAAAAATCAAAAGCACCCAAACAGGTTTTAATTGGGCATGTGCTGTGTTCTGGTTGGGAGTGATGGGGTAGCCTAGAGATGGAGCTGTCACCTCACAATCAGGAGACTGTGAGTTGGATCCTAGGTAGAAGCAGATATTTCTCTATAGTACACGGAGAATACATCTGTTGAACAAAACTCCGTATTGGCGACTGGAAAGGGCATCCAGCTATTAAAACACTCTGCTAGCTCCATTCAACCCTGCAAGGGATGATGGGGTCATTAACAGAAGAAGATGATGTCCTGTGTCCGTTCTTCAAGGGTTGTGGATAAAGGGTGTGTTGAGTGGGGGGGAAACCAACATCCACTGCCGTTGATGCCTTCCTGGGAAATTGGATCTCTGTGGTCGTTACGCATTAAAGGTGTTGTATGTGCCACCAAATTTTCCTCCCCGCCCCGGGACAGCACGGAAGTTGCCATGGGGATGAGGCCAAACATTTTTCTTAGTCCGTTTGGAAGAGAAATCAATTCAAAAAAAAATAAAAAATCGCCTCCGTTGATACGACATTCTTGATCAGTAGGAGAGCAGAATTGCACAACCACTTTGTTCGGGGAAATTGCCTACGTTTTTCAACGCGAGGCTGCCAAAGAGAGAAGCCACGGACACGCCATTTCTTAGACCTATTTTTTCCTTGACCGCCGAAGCCGCAAGGAAAAGCCAGGAAAAGGGGTCGTCAGCCTCCCTGCAGAAACGCAAAAGAACACACACACACATCACATCCCCCCTCAGCCATTCCTTCTGCTCCATTCAAAGGTCAGACTTCGGGCACCGTCGCCGGCTTTGGCCGCCCTGGCTGGAGACGTAAACGAGGAGGAAGAGAAGGGAGCAAAAAAGGAGGGAAGAGGTGGGTGGGACGGCCTCCAGAGCTCGCCTCCGCTCAGGGTCGAGAAGCTGCCGGAGCGGGCGAAAAAGGAAGGCGCGACTGTCGGAGAAGGAGCGCGCGCGCGTAAAGCCCTCAGCTGAAGGAGCGGAGAGACGGAGCCGCCCCGGGTAAGTCAGGCTTTGGTGCGAAAACCGAGCGGCCTCTCCTTGTCATGAGGGGAGCGTGTGTGTTTCTCGGAGCCCCGCGCGTGCGCACGGAGGTGCTAGGGAGAGGTTGGGGTTCGTTTGGGGCTCCCTTTCCCCTTTTAGGACCCCCCTCTTTCCGATGTTTCTGGAGAGTGGGTTTCCTCTACGATCTAGATCGGGGGTCTCCAACCGTGGGCACTTTGAAGACTTGTGGACTTCAACTTCAAGCTTTGCTGGCTGTGGAATTCTGGGAGTTGAAGTCCACAAGTCTTAAAAGTGGCCAAGGTTGGAGACCCCTGATCTAGAAAGCGTTGCGCCTTCAGAGGCTTCGGGACGCGTTGGGTTGGAGTCCATCGCTCCTTTTAATTTCATTTAATCTTTATTATTGGGTACAGGTAGTCCTCGGCTTGCAACTGTTCGTTTAGGATGGTTCAAAGTCACAAGGGCAGGGGGAAAAAGCAACTTGCATTTTCCTCCACACACTTAACACGTTGCAGCATCCCCATAGTCACTTGATCCAAATTCGGACGCTTGGCAACTGACTCAGATTTATGACAGTTGTAGCAACCCTGGGGGTCATGCGATCGGGTTTTGCAACCTTTTGACAAGCAGAGTCCAAAGTGGATTCATTAAACAACTAAGTAACTCAACAACTGCAGCGATTCACTTAACAACTGTGGCAAGAAAGGTCATAAAGTGGGGCATAATTCACTTAACAATGGCCTCGCTCAGCAACAGAAACGTTGGGCTCAGTGGTGGTCATGCGTTGAGGAAAACTTTGCCAGCTCTTCGGGCCACCAGTTCTGGAAAAAGCTGGTGGCCTGATCCCATTAATCCCTCATTAGCTAACTTTAGAGATTGGCTGGATGCCGATGGAGTAGTTGAATAGTAAGTAATATGTTATCGTTGAAAGGAAATCAGATGTCTTGGCTAGGGTTGAATGGTCCTCCAGCCACACTGGTTTCTCTGTCTTCTGCACTAAAGAAGGCAGCTGTCAATCTTTTAAGAATATTTTTCCCCACCTTTATTATTGTGTAACTAATTCAAGGTGGTGAACGTACCTAATACTCCCGTTTCCTTCTATTTTCGCACAACAACAACAATCTTGCGAGGTGGGTTGGGCAGAGAGAGAGAGTGACTGGCCCAAAGTCACCCAGCTGGCTTCATCAAAAGCATGCAAAAAACAGTGGCATCCAGCGTTTGGCTGCCACCAAAGGAGAAATTTGCAAAGAAACAGATGAAGCAGATGCTTCCTCAAATGTTATGTGCAAATAAGTGTGAGCCCTGTTGTTATATATATAGAAAGGCTTCTCTGGTTTAGAAACCATGTCAGAATGCCACAGCTGACATTTGTGGTTAACTCAGTTCCTAATATCTACGACATGCCAAAACATCCGTTGCCTTAAAAAAAAATATGGAAGGAGTGGGTGACAAATATTTGACCAAGTTTGTCATGCGCCTGTATTCTTATGACCAGAAAAAGAAGGGAAGTTTAGCCAGTTGGTCTTAAGATAGCAAGATTGATTTTGGCCGCATCCAAAAGTAACTTTTTGAGGGGTCCTTGGTACTCTCCGAACTTGTTGTTTTCTTGCAGACGTTTCATTACCCAAGCTAGGTAACATCAGTGCTAGTCAGTAGTTTGGGTAATGAAATGTGTACAAGAAAACAAACAAGCCCAGAGAGTATCAAGGGCTCCTTATTTCAACTCTGAGCTACAAATATTCTCCTTTATTTGCAGTTTGTGTAATTTTTCTCCAAAACTTGCTGGTGCCCACTTTTGTTTTGCTTCAGCTAATGAAAACTCTGCTGACTCTTTCAGCTTGCTTAGCTTAAGTGAGAGGACTTACCATTATTTATTTTGAGTTTCTTTATTCTGTGGTCTACCATGCCACCACACACACATACAAACATAGACCTAAAAAAGCAAGGATAACAGAGCTATTTTCACAAACAGAGGGGGCGCATTATCAGAAAAATAAAACTTTTATTCCCTAGTACTCTAGTGTAAATAAATAAAAAATAATGGTATGGGCATTCAAGCTTTTAAATGTGGCTTTCATTTTTTTTTCCTTTGCTTTGGCACAATTTGTAAGATGTTAGTGTGATGTATAAAATGCTTTGAAGAAAATAGCTAGCAGGTAAGAAATGATTCCTTTCTATTAGAATTTTGAGGTCAATCTTTGGTTTTTGAATTGGTACTTTTGTCTTTTCAGGGGGTAAAACAGAAAAACAATGAATACATATATATTCAGCTATTACTTAATTCAGTTTTGTGGACATTCATGGATATTTACCAATATGTTCATCAGATTCCTTTCATTTGGGGAAGGTAAGCTCATGTCATACATTTTCCTTTTTGCTAAAGCTTGTTAGTAATAAACAAATTAAGTATTAACTGAAGTAGATCTAACAGTGATATTGCTCTAGATATTTGCACTTGAGAAGTCTAAAACCCTTTTTACCCATATATAATATGTATGAGTTAAATTCCCTCAAAGGCAAAAAATAAATGTAAGAGAACCATTGTATTTATATTTTTATTCACTGAGAAGCTATTTTGATATAAAAAAATTGTGACAACAGAACTATAAAATCAGTTCAAATCAGTTTCCTGGTTGTTATTTCTCAAAATTACAAACAGAAAACCACGGTTTATTTGTTTTTAAATATCCACTTATCTCTCTGATGATAAAAACTCTTCATGTTTTTCTTTGAATTTATAAGAAAAAAATGGCTATCAAAACGCCAGCCTGACCCAGCAATCAAAGTCCCGCCCCTTTTAAAATTGTGCTTTATAATGTGTGGCACACAAAGGAGTGAGGTGAAGTGCCCTGTCCTGTCTGCCATTTTGGCATTATTGACGTCTTTGCTTACAGATAAATCCCGGAGAAGAAAGTGTAGGCACTGTGGGCCTAATCGTTTCTTTATTGCAGTGTTTCCTTCAGAGCCTCAATTTCAACTTCCTGGTGTGGAACAGAGGACTGAAAGTGAATTATAAATGTTAGCCTAAATCCAAGTGTAGTTCTGTTCACAGTTGGAACCCACTTATTTTTTTGCTTTTATGCATTCAGATGGTTGTGTGAAATAGGGTTGATTTAATCCCAATTCCTGGAAAGTGGAAAGATTTTAAAAAATAAAGAACCAGTATTATAGATTAAGGCAAAGGTGCTCTAACTCTACAATTCAAACCCTGTAAATGCTAAATGAAGATGAGTTCCCTTTATGAATAAAACCAAACTATGATTATGAAACAATGAATAGAACGGGCTGACCGGGTGGCTCAGCAATTAAGATGCTGGGCTTGTCTGGTAGAAAGCCTTCAGCCCAGGGTTTGATACCAAGCATCACACAGTAGGCAAGCTCCTGTCCTCACCCCAGCTCCTGCCAACCTAGCTGTTCAAAAGCATGCAAATGCAAGTAGATAAATAGGAGGGTAGGTAGCAGTGGGAAGGTAACAGTGCTCTATGCTGGCCACATGACAGTGGAAATTGTCTCTGGACAACATTGCCTCAATGGCCTTGAAACGGAGATAAGCACTGCCCCCTATAGTCGGAAATGACTAACGCAGTAAAATCCGCAGAGACTCCTTTATCTTTTTTTAAAAAATAAATAGAGATGGTATGTTTGGCAGGTAGTTTGGCCAAATGGCTAGATCCATGGGTTTAGCCATTTCTCAAATCTTACTCCAGGTTTTGCTCTCCATATTAAGGTAGATATAGGATGGATGGATGGATGGATGGATGGATGGGTGGGTGGGTGGGTGGGTAGATAGATAGATAGATAGATAGATAGATAGATAGATAGATAGATAAAAAACTGTTCTATAAGTTGCTTATAACCTCCTTGGTTATTATGACCTACGGTTTGAAAAAGAGTTAACTAGAGAAGTAGCTCGCTGTGTGAGTCAACAAGCTGGTTAAGATAGTACAATTATTCCATTTGTATGGGCACAGCATAAGTAGTGTGTGTATTTGTGTGTGTGTGTGTGTGTGTGTGTGTGTGTGTGTGTGTGTGTGTGTATGTGTTACTTTTGACAATTTCAATTACCCAAACCTGGGCCTTTTTCTAGGTGATTCTGAATGGAAATGAGATTTAAAAAAAACAAATTGTCCCCATACTTTTGCAGTATATATTCACTGACAATGATCAGTCTTAATTACACAAGGATTGATGGAAGGAAGTTCTCTTACATGTTTTGTTTTTGTACTTTTTATTCCCTTTTCAGTGTTAGGATCCCCCAAGTCCCCTAATATCTTACCCTTGTGTGTATACGGTGTTATTTTAGTAACATTATTATTTAATAGGAGAAGATTCAAGCAGGCTTGATACCTCCCAATTACAGTCGACTTTTAGCAAGATTACAGATTACAGATAATCAGAGTTGGAAGGGACCTTACAGGTCATCTAGTACAACACCCCACCCAAGCGGGAGACCCTACGCCATTTCTGACAGATGGCAGTCCAATCTCTTCTTGAAGGTCTCAAGTGATGGCGCTCCCACAACTTCCGAGGGCAAGCTGTTCCATTGGTTGATTGTTCTCACTGTCAGAAAGTTTCTCCTTATTTCCAGGTTAAATCTCTCCTTGTTCAGTTTCCATCCATTATTTCTTGTCTGGCCTACAGGCGCTTTAGAAAATAGCTTGACCCCTTTCTCTCTGTGGCAGCCCCTCAAATATTGGAAGACTGCTATCCTGTCTCCCCTGGTCCTTCTCTTCACTAGACTAGCCAAGCCCAGTTCCTGTAACCGTTCTTCATATGTTTTAGTCTCCAGTCCCCTAATCATCCTGGTTGCTCTTCTCTGTACTTTTTCTAGAGCCTCAACATCTTTTTTTAATGTGGTGACCAAAACTGGATGCAGTACTCTAGGTGTGGTCTTACTAAGGCTTTATATAGAGTGGTATTAGTACTTCCCTTGATCTTGACTGTATCCCTCTGTTAATACAATTTAGGATTGCATTAGCTTTTTTGGCAGCGGCTGCACATTGCTGGATCATATTTAACTGGTTGTCCACTAAAACTCCAAGATCCCTCTCACAGTTACTGCCATTGAGCCTGGTTTCACCCAGTCTATATGTGTACTTTTAGTTTTTCTTGCCTAAGTGTAGGACTTTACTTTTCTCTATATTGAATTTCATTTTATTAAATATGGCCCAGTGTTCTAGTCTGTCAAGATCCACCTGGATCTTGAGCCTATCTTCTTGGGTATTAGCTATTCCTGCCAGCTTAGTATCATCTGCAAATTTGGTAAATTCCCCTTCTATTATCTCATCTAAGTCGTTAATGAAGATTAAGTTAGCTTTTTTTCTTTAAAACTCAACTTTTCTGCATGTGCAAGCTTATGCAATTCTGAAGCAATTAGTATAGTTATTCCAGTAAAACTCAAACAATTAATCATCTAGGGACTTTCTTTTAACCTTTTAATTCCTAACACATTGCATATGCCCAAACCATTTAGTTTAATCATCTGATCAAAGTTGATTAAGAATATTGGGAAAAGAATGAGGTTGTAAGTAATTATAACTGACTGGTCACTTCCTATATAATAGAAATGACATCAGCCTAATCCAGCTTAAGTAAATCATGACTAAATTACATTAAATGCACATTAATCAAATGGATTAAAGCCCCAGTGAACAACCATTGCTGGGAGACCCAGGATCTGAAAATCTTATTGCATTTAATCGCACTAGAAAAGCTTTGAGCCCATTTTTAGAACACGGGGAACTTATTACTCTGAGGAAAGCCTTACATTTTGCATCTGAAAATGAAGAGGAAATGATCAGTCTATAATCACATATTGATATAGCAATAAATCAAGTCCAGCAAAAAGAACTATATTGAATAATGACCTATTATTTTAATCGATCTTGCATGAATATAGCCTATGTAAAACTGAACTAGATTAGAACGCATAGCAGCATAAATGTAACTACATACTTGCAGAAAATTGCTGGTAGATTAACACAATGATTTGTTATCCAATGAAAAAAGAGAGAGAATAGAAGTTTAGCCCTTTTTTTAGGAGGAGAATCATTCAAGTTAAAATTTCCTGGAAATTTAATTCATAAATTTGGTTGTGAAATAACTTTTCATCCCGTCACCAAATTAAATGTCATGTATTCTACGGGCCCATGTTCCACAGACATGATTGCCACATTTGATCTATTCCTCTTTGAAAATCTTGTGGGAAAATTTTTTGCTCAGTATGCTCTGTGCCAAAACATACACAGAGACAAAAACATCCAAATCTTCTGGAATTATTATTTATATATGTACAGGAAATCTTCAAAAATCTTTAATGCCAGTTTTGAAAAGTAGGCAAGTATTAACATCCTGTTTTCTTGAAGGTCAGTGGGAAGAGGGAAGAATGTGGCAAAGGGAGTGTCCTAAAAATTTACATCAGCCTTTCCTATTTTTCCTTTTGTATCTGTAGATTCTGTTGCAGACACTTTCCATTCTATTGGACTTGTGATGCGTATTTGCCAGCTAGCATCGATACTAGAGCTCCTGCATATTTGGTTTGGCATTGAGAAGGATCAGTTTTTCCCAAGATTCTTACAGGTATGGCAAACGATCATCATATTCAAGATTAGGATTTTGATATTTGGAATTCAGTCTCCTTTGGTTATTCTTACTGTTCCTGAAAATCCCACAGCAAATACTTGTGATGAAACTGAATAAACCCAACTTGGAAAGTCAATGAGAGAAAGTTCACACGTGACTTAATTACGCCATAGGAAAGCAGACCTATCTGTGTGTACCTCCGAGGTTGAAAGTTGCCTGATAATTTTCACACCTGCGGTTTATGTTGCCTCTAACTGAAGGAATTAGGAGGTGTTGGCTTTGTTTTCATTACTATGTGGAAAAAATAATTGAAGTGATTTCAATCACTCTAAAAATAGTGAACTAGGAATCCAGATGTGAATATTATTCATTCAAACCTCATATCCAAATGGGATGATTGGGTATTTCCCCTCTCAAAAGCATGTAAGTGCTGGCTGCATATGAGTTTCAGGTTACACATCTTCTAAGTTTAGCTCCTGTCCTTCGATCAGAAAGGGGAATCTTTACTTCCTCCAGCTGTTCCCGGAATCTAGTTTTCATCGTACCTTTTTAGTGTTTCAGATCTTGTTCTCGCCAACCTTACACCCTGCCTCTTTATTTATTTATGTATTAAATTTATATGTAACTTATGATCACATTATCATACTAGAGCCAAATCGATCAGTCTGTGTAGCTAATATTCAGATGTTTTGAATCATATAGATACAGGTAATCCTCGACTTATATTGTTTAGTGATCGTCTGAATGTTATAATGGTTTTGAAAAAAGTGACTTATGACTGTTTTTCACAGTTATGACCATTGCAATATCCCTGTGGTCATGTGACTTACATTCGGATGCTTGACAACTAACTCAGATTTATGACGTTTGTAGTGCCCCAGAGTCATGTGATCTCCTTCACTGACAAGCAGAGTCCATGGGGAAACCAGATTCATTAACAACCGTGTTACTAATTTAACAACTGCAGTGATTCACTTAACAAATGTGGCAAGAAAAATGATAAAATGGGACAAAAGTCACTTACCAAATGTCTCGGTTAGCAACATAAATTTTGGGCTAAATTGTGGCTGTAAATTGAGGACTACCTGTACAATGGCTTTATACAGAGACTTTGGCCACTACTATAATAAGCCACTGGTTATTGTGTATACCTCCAAATTATCCTGAAACTCCTGTCAAAATAACACACGGTTTAATTACAGTTATTAAAGCCTACCAGAAAGGAACACATAAGATATCCGTTCCAATAACCATTATCTGAGCAAAAATGAATGAAGAACAATGGATCTAATACTGTGAAATTATGGTTGTCTTCCTCTTATGCCTTTTTTCTGTCAAGCACCAGGCTGCCTGGAGGTTATAGTTCCTTTTAATAGAGGTCCTAATTGACTAGATGCCCATAGCTGCATACAATTAAGTTAAGGGATACACATGGCCCTAAAGGCCACAGGTTGCCACCACTGCCCCAATCAAATCAAAGCAGCATTCAGAAAATGGTTGTTTTGCAAAACAGTCGATTTTGAATCTCAAAAGACCCATGCAGAAGGAAAAGGGCATTAAGTTAAAGAACAGAATTTGGAATGATTTTTTTAAAATAGAAAAATGGGTTAACTAATCACTCGAAAGGAAAGGGACAGAAACAAATCAACTAGAATGAAGATAGTGTTTGTTTGTTTTTTTGCATTTCTCCAACAGAATTTGAATTTGAGAAAATGAATTTGTAGGACAAATATGAATGATAGCATAATCAATACGTCCCACAAATGCACAAGATAATGGCATTTTAAAAATAATGTTAGAATATGCTGCTTTTCTTGAGTGGGAAGATTGTCAGCTTACATTTCAGCCTAGACTTCTGATTATGCCCTGGGTGTAAAGAATGGCCGTGAAAAATATAATGCTAAGTCAGAAGGTGTTTACTCCCAAGTAACACACACTAAGCTTAGTGAGATTGACAATACAATCTTACAGATGTCTACTTAGATTACACTAGAAAGATGCATTGTGGGATGACCTATTCAGTACATAGGTAGGAAATTCTAAATTTTTAATTATTTACCTGGGGAACATAATTTTTGAACTCTATGGGATTTACTTTTGACAATTTTTGGGATAGCGCTGTTAAATATTTTTCTCTGCCTATATCCCACACACAATCCCTTTTTTACTAGAATGCATAGTAATAGAGAGCTTAACATGAACATGAACTGGTTTTAGGTCTGAATTCTGGATACCATTTTAATGGGTTAAAAACATGGGTAATAAAAGTGCTCAGTTCACAGTGGATCAGAGTTTTGGAAGAAAACTTAATACAGGTGAGAAATACGATCAGAAGACAATCAAGGTTTGAGCAAATTTTATAAAAGTTGCCATTTTCCATCATCAATACGTTCTCTATAAACTAAACATGCATCATTTTTTAATCATTAAAACTGAAGAAACCATCCTCTAATACAGGGATAGGTAATGCCCCCCAGTTATTTTGAATTTAAATACCTATTAGTATATGGCTATGATGACAAATAGCAATTCATTATTGGACTTGGAATTCAAAATATATACAGGGCAGAAGTTGGCTATTTCTGACATAATGTTTGGACTCGGTCTATCAACTCCAGTCTATCAACTCCAAGTGTATCATAATCATGTTTCCTATATTTAGGTGACAATATTTAGGCAATATAAAAATGATATCAAATTGTCACAGTATTAAATAGGCAACAGGTGTACAGTGCCAATCATTTCTAGTTCAAACCTTTCCTCTGCTTTTCCTAACTAATCTTAGATGAAATAAATGTACTTTTTGACCATAACAAAAAAAGAAAAACATGCTTATGCAACTCATTAAAAAAAATTAAGAAGCAAATTAATATGAGATCATATGATATCATATTATCTAAACTTGCCTTCAGGAATACAAAGATGATTCAGAGGTTGAGAATTATATAAATTTGATTGGGCCAATCTTTAAGAGTCCGGTGTGTCCTTCCTATGAGCATTTTTTCTTTCAACAGTCAAGGCAAAATTAATCCAGAGCTTTTCATACACAATTTCCAGATTTTTGGAATATAATTTAACAACAGATTAGCATCTTTAAAACTTCTCTTCCTCACAAGAACTTGATTCAGTAGCTTGAAAGGTATTGCCTTGAACATGTTCGAAGTATGTGCACAAATATTCTCTCAAATTTATTGTAAGTTGTGCTATATGAATGTACTTTGTTGCTTGACTTAGGCGGGAAATTTGAAGATTAGAGTCTCCAAGTCATTTCACACGCGAGATCAAGAGCAAGATGTTGTTCTCCTTTCATATATAAGAACTGACTAGCCCAGCAGTTCAATTTATTTTGGCACTGTTGCTGCTGAACTATGGTTTCTCCTTTGTGGGTGAGAGTGGAAAACTAGTTAGGGAGCCCAGTGCTTTGCCTTCCAATTCTTTGATACTTCTTCTTGGATTTAGGATCGGCTGCTTGAGACAATTGTACTTAAAGATAAAAACTGGCTTTACTTGGATACGCTAATTCTATCCCTGTACAAAAAAGGAATGTGTGCAAGATATTATTATGTTGTGGTTGGTTACACAGCCAGCCACATGTTTAAACGGGATTCGGCATTTTTATTTCACTCTCTGTGACTTTGTCTATTTTGTGGTCTCACCAGTTCTTGCTTGTTGGCAAATGGTATATCTTGCAGCTATTTTAATGCACCATTGTTGCTATTTTGTCATGCTGTTGTTTGCAATCAGACCGTGAGATCTTCTTGCAGCAGCTAACTAGGTGGTCCCCTATTTCTTCAGCTTCTTTTCAGAGGTGGCATTTGCTGTCTGTTGTTGTCTTCTCAATTTTGGTTTTGAAGCATTTGGTTCTTAAGGCTTGATCTTGTGCAGTCAAGATTAGACTCTGTCTCTTCAATTTTCCAGCTCTTAGTCATTGTCACGTTATATGCTTTGACTGCTATTTTTAAAAATATACTGGCCATGTAATACTTTGCCTTGCCATGTCTCTTTCCTGTTTTTTTCATTTGGTCTTTCTTGTAGGACAGTTTGGTCTCTCCAGTACTCAGTAAGCCTTTGTAGCATACCAACTTCCATGCATTTTCTTCAATGTCCTTCAGATATTCTTCCAATGCCCCTCCTTTTTTCTTCTTCAACTATTTGTTTCTTCAACTGTTGCAACATTCCATTCTCACCTATATTTCATGGCATGTAGAGTCTGTCAATGTTCCTGCGTGGATGAAGCCATGATTCATTGTCATTATTTTTCCAGTCCTTACATGCGGAGCTAGCAGTGTGATCTTTTGTAATTGACAAATGGAAATTTTGTTAATATGTAGATGTTCTAAGTACAATATGGCACCCACTGAGACTGCTGTATGCCATAATATTTTAACTTTGATTTTCAGATCTTGATACTTTGTGATCTTCTCCAATTCTTTGCCTTCTAGTCTACCATCCCTTGGTATTGCCACATCAATTACCCACTTTTTTTTCAATCACAGTTAAATCTTGTGTATTATGAGCCAAGACCTTATCCATTTGTATTCAGAATCTCACACTATTTTAACCTGCTCATTTTTACTACTTTTTCAACTATGTATTCTCACCACTTTTTCATTATTGGCAAATGATTACTTCAGCAGATGTTCCAGTGAACCATTTTGATGACTGTGCAGTGCCATTGTTTATAGTAAGTTTGTGTGGTTTTCTTGCATAAACTGTGTATATGATCTGAGTATGTAATGAATGAGTATCACTCATTCAATGCTATTATAACTTCTAACAGTCATCAAATTAGCAAGCAAGGATTATAACACTGAACATTTTTGTTCAGTAATTCAAGACAGGATATATCATATTCCCAATTCCAGTTTTTTTCTCCAGAAGTTTGTAGTGTTGATTAGGCTATTAGATACTGACTGATCTAAAGTCTCCCTGTGACTTTCCATAATTGAAGGTGAACTGTAACCTGCATTCTTGGTTTCTGCCCTCACCCCTTTTAAAAATGCAATTTTTGTGGGTTAATCAGATTAGAATTGTGTCTGGACATGACACATATTGAATAAATTGCATTTTTCATGGGCGTGGGGAGATGGGAAGGCTAGAGATGAAAATCTTTCTCGCTAGAACAGAATGTGAACAGAATTTCCTAACCAAGTTGGGATTTTGAAGCACACTATATATTTGTAATTTTAGTTTTAATAGTGGGCTATTAATTGAGTTAGTATCTGCTGTTGCACTGACTAAGCCACCTCAGAAACTTGAATGTCTGCTAAAAAATTGGGAAATAGGATATAAAGATAGAGAGAACTCAAGAACAATAGTACAAAAAAGGAAAAAGGAAAAACAATAGTACAAAATAGGACAAAGAAGCATCTTTGCATACATTTATTTTATAAAATAGTGGCACGAGTTTTCTGTTTCTGACATCTGATTATAGAAAACAGGATATGGAATTTGGATTTCGAACTTCAGTTTTTTTAAAAAATGAAAGCCAACAAAATGAATATGAAAATGCACAATTTCAAAAAATTATCTAGAGGTAGTCCTTGTCTACAATTGGGACCAGTGACTGTCGTTATACGAAACTAACTGGGAAATCACATGTCCTCAACTGTGCTTTCCTTTTCTTCACTCCCTGCTCTTTGTTAATGCTTATTCTAATGAAGTGATTACTAAGTGAAAGATCATGATTTTATGATCTTATTTCATCTTTCCTTTACTTTACAGACCTATGACAATCATAAATGTGAGAACTGGCTGCAAAGTTACTTTTTCATCACCGTCTTAACTGAAAAGTTGCTAAACCAAGCAATTAAAACAAGGATTACCTGCATGTGCTTAAAGACTAGGGTTTCACCCCACTTCTAATCTGTAACTAAACTCAATTCTGGTTTGTGCAAAATAAGTCACCTTCACAGTGTATTCATATACTCAAGGTTCTGCAAACCTGCTACCCATTATTTTTTTTATCTCAACCGCATTGTTTGGAAATTTAGTGAGCGGGCAAATATTGCTACTTATTAGTGAATAATAATCTACTTTGCAAACTACAGTACAGTGTTTCCTAAGTTAAGATAGCAGAAGCATTTAATGACAAAACTAAAAGTGTGTTTTATTGTCTTAGTATTTAGTGCATCCAATGCTGTACTGCTGCAGCTGTACTTACATAATATTTTGATTAGACAAACATCTTTTAATATAACGTAGTGTGTGAATTCTGCTTCCATACTTATTAATATGTCAAACCCAGAAAATTAGGGTGAGTAAATAATTTAATTGACTGAAGGGCTTATGTCACACAACTACAGGCCATTTGTCTTTTACGATGCAACCTTTACCATAATTGAAAATAGTATCCCTTCTGGCTGCTTTTATCACACTAACCGTCCCAAGAGAACGAGTTGAGGAATAAACTGTCTTACTTTTTCCAGATCACAGAAAGAATTGTCATCTTATTTGTTGCAATAGCAAGTCAAGAAGAGGTTCAAGGGAAAGGCATTGTGTGTGTCTTATTTTTCCTTTGGAGTTGCATTGATGTCATCAGGTGAGAATTTAATGCCACTCCTGTGGAAACACAGCCAAGAAGTTTCCAATATTTATCTTCCCTGCATGGTATTCACTGTTATTATCTGGGAGGCTTTCTTTGCAACAAAGCTCAGAAGATAAGGATGTGCGTTCTCTTATCAAAAACATTCAACCTCTAGCTGTAGATCACATATTGTCTTCTTTTGCTTTCTATTATCAATAGAAAGCAATAACCAGAATATTAGAATCCAAGATTTTGATAATATCAGAATACCCAGAACATCTGAATACTGCAAACACATTATTAATGAAATCAGTTGCTTTAGACTCTGTTAATTCCTGAGAACTGAGGCAACACAAAAACATTGTATGATTCAGTGAGAAAAAATGTAAGCAAACTAGTTTCTTGAGTTTCCTGCAGTTTATTGGAGCCAATAAAAAAAAAACCAGAAGGTCGCTGCTGATTAATTCTGATTTCTATGAAAACTAGCAAATGTTAAAAGAGTTGACCAATCAAATCATCCTTCCCAAATCTGTTTTTACCTATTCAATTCGGGCAGGCGGGTTGGAGATGCTACAGGTTCCCATCTGCCTTGGAATGTCAGCCTTTGGGTGAGTAAATAACTTAATTGACTGAAGGGCTTACGTCACACAACTACAGGCCCTTCTCTGTCGTAGGTCCCAGCCTTCTGGAGTATTCTTCCTTTGATATCCAGATAGGTCCAACAATGTTGGCCTTTCATAAGGTTGTGTAGATAGGGTTGTACTCCTGAGCCTGGGGCCTCGAGTGTGTAATGGGCTCTGTTTCTTGGTTGCATTAACATCCATAATAGCAGCTTTCTTTGGTGCCAAATATATTTATTTTGTAGCAGTATTTTTAATTGATCTAATAGTTTTAATTGTTCTTATGACTTATGAAGAATGCCACCCAGAATTACTTGTTGAGATGGGTGGTTATTAGAAATCACATACATACATACATACATACATACATACATACATACATACATACATACATCCTCTTGACCAAGATTCAAATATAATCATTTGATCATTTCTTCTAAGTTGAAACAATGGCAGTTATAACACAACTGCAGGGAACCTGGGTTATGAAGGCTGCATGGGATTCATCTGTCCCATAAAAAACCAGTACTAATCATAATAACAATACCATATGTGTTATTTATTTGATAACATGGCACACATGACGCCACTCCCCTGCCCTGGTTTTCCTTCTAGATACACGTACTGCATATTATCGGAGACCGGGATATACTTTCAAGGACTAGCTTGGCTCTACCATTCACTGTGGATTCCTTTCTATCCTCTCTCAGTTTTGGCTCAAGGTAAGTAGAGGAAGAGGCTATAATTTCTGGCATTGCAATTCTGCCCAGGTCGTCCTCGCCTAATGATCCTAATTGGAGCCAGAATTTCCATCCCTAAGCAGAATGATTGTTAGGTGAAACGTCATGTGAACGCACGACAGTTCTGGCAGTGGTTGTTAGGTGAGGACCATGTTGTTGTTAAGTGAGGACCTCATGCTTTTCGCCTGCCCTGCTGTACTTGCCTCCATTCAACATCCGGCTCGCCTATGGAAGCGCCGGTCTCTGCCCTTTTGGTCACTCTGCACTCCACTCTTGGCCATCTTTTTCCTCCTGTGGCTGATTGAGGTGCTGAGGCAGCTGCCGGCCCTTCATGAAAACTTGAAAAGTCAGCAGGTGCCTCAGCCAGGTGCACCTCAATAGCCGGGAGGAAGATGATGGTGAGGGTCAGCTGAGGGTGGTAGAAGTAGGTGATGGTAGAACGCAAGACAGCCAAAGGAGCCGAGATGGGGGAGGGAAGATATGTGGGGAGTGAGTTGAAGCACATGCTGCGGTTGTTTGTAAATGTGGATGGGCTGCCCGGCCCCCACATGACCATGAAGGTGCTTTAACGACTGTATCTTTGAGGACTGGCTGTAACCACCATTCTTTCAATGCTACTATAATTTGAAATAGTTGCTTAACAAACAGTTGTTAAACAAAGACGATCTGTATATTTAATTAGGAGTAAGTTTCATTGGATCATTCTAGATAGAAGTTATCCTTCACTTACAACAGTTCATTTCGTGACTGTTCAAAGTTACAAAGGCCCTGAAAAAACTGACTTATGACTGTTTTTCACACTTCACGACCTTTGCGGCATCCCCTTGGTCACAGAATCAGAATGTAGAAGCTTGGCAGCTGACTCATATTTATGACAAATTGCAGTGTCCCAGGGTCATGTGATCCCCTTTTGTGACCTTCTGATAAGCACAGTCAATGGAGAAGCCAGATTCACTTAACAACCGTGTTACTAACTTAACAACTGTGGTAAGGTAGGACATAAAATGGGGCAAAACTCACTTTAACAAAAGTTTCACTTAGCAACATAAATTATGGGCTCAATTGGGGTCGTAAATCGAGGACTACCTGTAGATGTTCGTAGGCTTGTAGAATGTGTTTGTAGAACTTGCAGTAAGATAAATATGATGGCCCTCCATAAGGAAATATTTCCAATAAGGAGTCACATGCTTCGCAAGGCAAATATTGTTCAGCAAGAATGGTTCCAAAAGTTGGTAACTTTTTTTATGTGATGCTACCTCTTGGAAAAATGATTTCTCTGAAACAACATGGGATATGTGTGTGTGTGTGTGTGTGTGTGTGTGTATCACTGGAGTACTCCTTCAAATCAGCTTCAGTTTTTTTAAAGTGGAACAGGAGCCTCTAACCTTGGCAACTTTAAGACTTGTGAACTTCAACTTCATGGTGGCTGGGGAATTCTGGGAGTTGAAGTCCACAAGTCTTAAAGTTGCTAAGGTTGGACATCCCTGGGGTAAGACTTGTGCTCTTCCAGATGTGCTGAACCACAGCTCCCAGCATTGGAAGCTATTGCCTAGATTGTATAAGGCTGATGAAAATTGGGATCCAATCTAATAATGAAAACTTCTAATTGTGAATCTTTAGTCCTGGCTGAAGCGTGAACCTAACCTATATCCATATGAATTGAATGTATTATGCAGAAATGAGACATTTTTACACATTTGGAATTTTTCACTTGGCTGATTTTTCTTTTTCTTTTGTCCCCCAGCATTTGCCATATATGAATCATTGCCTCACTTTGAAGCCTCAGGCACTTACTCCACCAGAATATTCTTTCCATTTGATCTAACTATTTACTTTCCCTATGTACTGAAAATGTACATGGCAATATTATTTGGGGGTAAGCCCTTTTATTTCTTGGCAAATTCAACAATACACTGTAATGCATTGGCAGAATTGGGTAATACACTCCCATTCCTCCTGGGGGCCTGATTGGTATAGGAAGTTCTTTATTCGCACAAGCCTCCGCTCTCTCATTATACCAGTATAAAGTATAGAGGTGTCCAGCACAGTTACATCAGATTCCTGGTCAAACTATATACGAAGTCTGAAACAACTATAAACAGATGGGTACAGTATATATTAATGCAAAGCTCTCATTAGCCATAGTGTGTTTTCCCACAGATACTGAATCCCAAATGGAAATAATCATGCCTATTTCTTTAGATGATTTAAATGACAATACATTTTTTAATTGTCAGAAGTGGGCTACTCTATCAGGAGCCGTGGTGGCACTGTGGTTAGAATGCAGTATTGCAGGCTAATTCTGCTGACTGCCAGGAGTTCGGTTCTGACTGACTCAGCCTTCCATCCTTCTGAGGTCGATAAAACGAAACACCAGATTGTTGGGGGCAATATGCTGACTCTGTAAATCGCTTAGAGCCGTAATGGGATTCAATTTTTTTTACTAACTGTTCTGTGGGCATGGCTTGGTGGGCATGGTGTGATTTGGTGGGCGTGGCTTGATGGGTGTGGCAGGGGAAGGATACTGTAAAATCTCCATTCCCTCCCCACTCCATTAACCTGCTTTCCAGCTCCGTTCTCCTGTGCAGGGCAACAAAACAAGACCCAGCCTATCAGCTGGGACCCGGGAGGCAGAGAATAGATGGGGGCGGGTCCAGTCAGAGGTGGTATTTGCCGGTTCTCCAAACTACTCAAAATTTCTGCTACTGGTTCTCCAGAACTGGTCAGAACCTGCTGAATACCACCTCTGGCTTAGAGGGCTGTAAAGTATTATGAAGTGATATATAAGTGCTATTGCTATTGCTATTTTGTGTGTTCAGCTATTTGGATATATGTACACTTATATATCTACTGTTCAGAACACAAATTAATATTGCCAAACATATGGGTGTCAAACTCGCTCATGTCATGTGACATGTTGCGACATTTGCCTTCGTGGAGCTGGGGTGGGTGTGGCCTATGCATGATGCATCCAGGCCGTGGGCTGCCGGTTTGACACCCCTGGTCTAACATATCTGAATGATCAAAAAGAATGAGGACAACCCTTGTCCTGCTCTGATGCTGATTTTCCTAACACCATTTCAAGTAATTGTGAGCTTAATTTCCTTCTTCATTTTGGTAGGAGCCCCAGTACAAATTTTCAGTTTTTTTGGAAATATTAAACAATAGGAAACAAAGAATATTGGGGGACTGGCTACTGAATCAGAAAAATGTGCTAAATTAGTTCTAAAATATAAGTTGCTGTAGGCTAAATAAATAAATTCATTTTAAAATAAATTTGAACACCTTTAAGGCATGAGGATTTGGGAGACAGACTATTATTTGATAAAGAGTAATGCTATTGTGTAATTTATATGTTTCTTTTTTTCTTTTTATGTTTCAAACATGCTGTGGTCTGGGTTTAGGTGCCTACTTCATTGTTCAATATCTTTATACTGAACGGAAGACTTATCTACGAAGCAACAACATCAAAGAGAAAAGGAGCTAACTCGTGTTTTTGGTGAGAAATGACAAATTTCACCTCCTGTGAAACAGTCTTTGCAACAATATATCAAGATCTAGTCATTTGGAGATTTCGTTGCTCAAAGACTTTGTATACAGAGACATACCAGGCTGAATCAAAAGAATTCCTTGACTCTGTGAACACACTTTCAATAGCTTTCTCGTTATATTCAGTGGAATGAACATTACCTCATTTAAAAGGCAGGATATTATGTACATACATGTATACACAAACACACACACACACACACACACTGGAGAATTCTTTTAAAGTTATATAGGAGGTGTTCATTGTTTCTAACACTGCCAGAAAGCACCACAGCCAAAATGACCTTGTTCGAACCTAAGTTTTTGTCAGCTGGTGCCTTTGAAGAAATATTATGTGAAAACCAGATCAGAACAAAACAATTTGATAGCAATAATTAACCTTTTTAAAAGTAGGATACATTGTCGGGCATTTTGTGTGCGCCTGTAATTTTGATTACATGTCTGGTGATACGTTGCAAGTCGTAACAGATAACATAGGGATGAACTTTCTGTATCTCAGGAACTTTATTTATTCCTAAATCTGTATTTTGCTATTATTCTGGAGCGTCTTAGGATCATGCCATTGAAATTTAATGACAAAAGGCTTCTTATCAGCCACATGATTTTAAATATGTTTTAGGATTTTCAAAATAAGCATGCTAAGCCTTTCAAAACCTTAAAACTCTGACTTCTTGTATTCTTTCTCTCAATCAACCACATCCCTGAAATGCTGAGGTTGAAAAATGATTTTAAAAATGGTGCTTGCTCCTGCGTTAAAGTATACGTGTGAATGTGCTCCGTATGATTAGACTATATAACAGTAGCAACATTTTTGAAATGCCTCCATACTTCCACACTGACTGCCCTTTCCTTGTGACTCCTTCTTTTTAATCTACATTTTTCCACGCGGAAATCCTCCCTTCCCTTGATCCATAGTTGCACTTCATTTCAGAAATGCAGTAACCAAAGATATTTAAAGGAAGAATAAAGTATGCTGAAATGAGTGGAGATTTTTGGGGAGATAGAAATATTGAAGTTCAAAACATTAAGAGATGGGTGGGGATAATGGGCAGAGAAACCTTGATATTAACCAGCTACAGAAACTAGAAATTTTTATATGATCGTTGTTGGATCAAGTCCCAATGTACCTCCATCAGTGCTTCTGTAGCTCTTTTTCTGGGAAACTTTCTTTTGATCTGAGGCTTAAATATAGATTAGGGTGCTGGGATCCTCTTCCATGTTTTCTCTATCACCATAAGTGAACTTTTTTTGTAAGCCTATGACCTGATATTTTGGAGCAAATTTAAATGTTTAAGGCAAGAAAACATATCACTTGGCTATACAAAGGCCTACTTCTGATTAAAATGACATACCTCAGTTTGAACTACAGCCCTCCATACTTGTAGGCTCATTAATTTGTATGCATCTCCATATAAAACATTTTTTTCCAGTTCAAAATAGGGTCATTTATTTCCATGTTGAAGGAACCCTTGGGGAAATACTTTTTTGTCAGCCTAATTTCCTTGGTACCAATAGTGGTAGCAGGAATATTAATGAACAGTGGGTTCATTGTCTAACAAATAAAACACATTCAAAAGTTCAATTTTTCAAGGCAGCATCTTTAATCTTGCCACACTGAGATTGTCAAGTGCAATGCTAACCAACCATTTGTGAAATATTCTTGCCTTGTTTACCCAACTCCCATTTCCTATAGTAATTCTTTCTTTCTTTCTTTCTTTCTTTCTTTCTTTCTTTCTTTCTTTC